TAGGTGATTGTTTTTTTGCATTTATGGGTGGTTTATCGAAAATGTCTTTGATCTTGTTGTCTAATTGGAGGTTCTTGTAATCGTTTTTTAAATTGTGAATAAGTGTGTGGAAATATTGATTGTGGTTAAAAACCATGGGAATCCGATTTTTGTTTTTATTTTTCTTGTATGTGAGAAGTGTGTTACGATTTATCAGGATAGTTTTATTTAGTGTTTCTTTTATTATTTTTATTGGGTATTTGCATTTTAGGAATTGTTTTGTTAAGATATTAATGTTGTATAGAAAATCTAAATGGTCTGAGTATATGCGTTTGATTCTTAGAAATGAGCTATATACAATAGATTTTTTTAAATTAAAAGGATGACAGCTGTTAAAGTGCAGGAATTTATGTTGGTTTGTCGGTTTGTTGTATAGACTGGTAGAAAGTGTATGTTTGTTTAATTTTATCATAACGTCTAAGAAAGGGATGGATGTGTATGAGTGCTCCATGGTAAATTTAATTGTATCGTGGAAATTGTTGCAGAAAGTGAAAAAGGTTTTTAATTTTTCTAATCCATGAGTCCATAGTAAGAAAATGTCATCAATATATCTAAAGTAATGTGATGGTTTATATTCTTATATTTTTTATATCTTATATATATATATATCTTATATATATATATGTTTATATTATTTTTTAATTTGAAACTTTTTCTATATATACATATTAAGAAAGTATACGTGGCTTCTCATTATTATATATATATATATATATATATATATATATATATATATATATATAATAATGAAGGAATATAGTCTTAATGTCTGCTATATTTATTGGATAAAGTGCTCAATATCAGAGCTAGAGCGTGTGTAAATATAAAAGTAAACATTGAAGTCAACACTTAGCGGCGAAAGTCTGTTTCATGCTAGATGCAATCGTCATGCCTGACGATTGCATCTAGCTGATAAAGTTGAATGCTTTGCTCGTAAGTTCTCATCCAATTCAACGCTAGATTCATCTTAGAAACGAGGTTCTACTGAGTGAGATACACATAACCCTAACTATGGTATTGGGCATCATCTCTAAATTAGACTCCCATAAAGCTAGTGATGGGGACTGGATACTGACCATTGCCCTGAAGAAATGTGCTCTTGAATTGGCCCCTGTCCTCTCTAAACTTTACAACTACTGCCGCACTGAATCATGCTTTCCAACCTGTTGGAAGTCCTCATCTGTTGTGTCTGTCTTTAAAAACTCTGGAGACCTTTCTGACTCGTCCAACTACCGTCCTATCAATCTCCTACCACTCTTCGGTAAAGTCTTCGAGGCTTGAATCAACGCCCAAGTGGTTAAGCACCTTACTTCACATAATCTGTACTCCGACAAGCAATATGGTTTCCGCTTTGCCCGATCCACTGCTGATGTGCTCATGGTCATAACTGAATTTGTATACAAAGCACTCAACAATAATTGAGAATCTCGAGCCGTGGCTCTAGACATCTCTAAAGCGTTTAATAGGGTTTGACAAGCTGGCCTTCTTCGTAAGTTTCAGGGATACGGTATTATAGGACGCTTATATGACTTAATTCAATCATTCCTGTCGAACCGTGAAATGAGGGTCGTTCTCCTCCGATTCCTTTATCACGAACGCTGGTGTGCCCCAAGGATCTATCTTGGGTCCTACACTGTCCCTGATCTTCATCGATGACTTCTTCCGATATCATCAGTTCCCAAGTTGGCATCTATGCGGACGACACCACTATTTACTCCTGCCTCAATAGTAAATCAAGTATCGTTGGTAAAACTAACCTGGCTGCTGATATCAAAAAGGACCTCCAATCTGTGGTTGACTGGAGCAGGAAATGGTTTGTAAACTGTGCTTGTAAACTGTAATGCTCCCATAAGGAAACTTTTCTCCTTTACCAACCACAGAGAACCATCACTGCCTCCCATCAGGATGGCAGATTCCCAACTCCTTGAGAGCGCCTCGTTACGCCTTCTTGGTCTCACGCTGTCCACTGACATGTGGTCGAATAAATACCTTGAATCAATAGCTTCATCTACCGCGAGGAAAGTTGGCTCTCTGTGTCGTGCCAGAAAGTTTTTCTCGTCTGGGTCCATCCTTCAAATCTACAAATCAACCATCAGTCCTTGCATGGAATATTGCTGTCATATATGGTCTGGTGCTCCCGCTCTGCGTCTCGAGGTGCTTGACAAAGTCTAGAGACGAATATGCAAGATAATAGGTCCTGATCTGGCATCTAATCTACAATCGCTCTCCCACAGAGGTGCTGTGACCTCCCTCTGTCTTTTCTACAAATATTTTCAGGGCAACTGTTCCGGCGAGCTACAGTCGTTGGTTCCTGGACTTCAGGAATTTAAACGTTGTTCCAGGCTGACATCTCGGTCCCACTCTTTCACTGTCAAAATGGCTAAATATAACCCTCTCTTCTTCTCAAATAGCTTTCTTCTCCCGCACCTCCCGCCTGTGGAACACCCGTATATATATATATATATATATATATATATATATATATATATATATATATATATATATAAAACAAGTGCGTGATAGAATATATTAAATTCCAGAAAATCACATTATATTAATTTTTGAACATTTATTTCATTTTTATTGAAAAATAAATATTTCACCCCCTAACAAATAGCAATGATTCAGGCCCCCTTTTGAGTAAGGTCGCATCTACTTATCATCTATCAGTTGCGTCTCTGTCTTTGGACAGAGGGCACTCAGGGGCTTCTCAGTCAAAGGACGGAGAGGCAACTGAAAAAAATAATACTGAGAGGTGTCCAGCCTTGAGGAACTGCTGCCCGAGGCCGCGCCCTCGCGTTGCACCAGAGGAAGGAATCGGTGCTCGCACCGAGCCCAGGGCAACCGACGGTTGCGGGGTTGTGGGGAATTTTTTTTTCTGTCCCGGGTGTACGGGCTCGAGCCCCACCTAAAAATAGAGGTTATATCACATCTCGTCCTAGTGAGGGAACAGAGTAAATACTTACTAAATAATTACTTCTCACCAAGTACCCATTACCTGTATAAGAAACTAGTTCAAAGAATCCCTCAATAAATCAGAATCTAATCTTTCCACAATAAGCAAGATGAAAGAATTGTCATTGTATACTTGTACAAGACTGGAATGGGCTACAAGACAATTGGTAAGCAGCTAGGTGAGAAAGAGTCTGTGTGTTTAACATTTTATATTTTCCAATTGTCAGATAAGCTATTGAATATTGTGTCCAAAGCTGTGGATAAACTGTCCAAATTCATACTTTGGTAATCTTATTCCAAGTGCTTTCGCCTTTCGAAGTAATTATCAAGAACCAATGTGGTGCTTTTGTTATAGCTAGAATGCCATTATCTTGTATTCTTTGGGAAGTTGAACATTTGAAATCGTCAAATATAACGGCATGTGTAATGGCTATTGTGAACAAGGCCACGCAGAAAGACTGTGATTAATATATTTCTTAGTTTTTTAACAATATTTTCTATACTAATATAATATGTGCGCTTATTACACTATTCACATTATTCGAACTATTGTCCTCATCTTTGTCGCCATATTTATTACAACGTTTCGGCCGTTGTACGCTCCGGCATTCTTCATGTATTTGGAATGTCGAACTGAACCCTTTATTTCGCTCACTGGGGTAGACTGTTCTAGGCGTTGGTTACATTCAATGACAGAATCCAAAGAGTGTGAGTTCAATACCCAGGTAAGGCAGCGAAATAAAGGGTTCAGTTCGACATTCCAACCACCTGAAGAAGGCCGGAGCGTACAACGGCCGAAACGTTGTAATTAATAGTATTGTTGTGATATATGGGCTGGAGTTAACCAATCCTCACTTTCCAGCCTTTACAGACTATGTAGTTAGAGTTAAGCAATAGACTTTGTTCGTTTCCTAGTGTACTTTTTATTCTCTTCCAATCTCCGCTCGACTTTCTCAGCAACTGGGCAACTGGCAAAATTCTTGAGTGGTATGAAAACTGGGTGCCAAAAGTTCTCTGAGCAACAGACAAAGAAAAATAACTGTAGAGAAAAAAGTTTTTTGGGGCTTTAAAGAGCTCCACTCGACGATCTTATTGTAAACAGGGGTGACACTTTCATTAAAAGCTGAAGTCTCTAGAATGCTGTGAACTCGCTTCTTATAGGGCAGTAAATTTTATTTTTATTTTTCTTTCAACCACAGAGTCGAAAAACATTTACCCGACCTTGTGGAGGATGGATATTTTCAAACCTACATTCTCTTTCCTCACAGAGGAATCGTTGCTAACCTCCGTCTATTCTATGCTATTTTGAGAGCAGATGTTCAGACGAGCTGCATTCCTTAATTTCACCAGTTCAGACCTTTACAGCGAGAACCCAGCCTGTCACAAGCACAGAAACGCCTCAGCAACATTCATTTCGTATTCCATTGTTAAGGAAGAAACCCCACTCAGACAGCATCTTCCCTAGAACTGCGACTCGATGGAATAAGTTTCAGGGTGGATGCATCCGTGATCACGGCAATCTTAACCAAAACTGGAGATACCTGTTATATATCCTGAGTATCCTCATAATATGCCCCTCGCACCCCTTCATTCTACGCCCTCACAACAACTTCTTAACTTTCTACCTTTGAGTGGCTCGTGGGTTAAAAACAGTATAAACAAAATCTCAATATCCCTTCCACTTTACCTGCTGAGACCGCTATCGTGATTGTCATCAGCTGCCTTGTTGCGATCCCCTTAATCTCGTGCTTGGTCAGAAATCTCTAAGCTTACAAAGGTTATAGTAGCGTTGAAAAAAAAGCAGGGAATCAAATTTGAATAATTAGAGCCCGGGCGGGACAGACTGGGATGTGGCAATATTTTGTAATAAGATATTAACATAGACAAGGTGTATTGTGTATGTCACGGCCACGCAGTACGAAGCTCACTCACTGCTGTTTTAATACTAACATCAGGTGAGAGTATTTGTTCACACATAAGCAATTAATTATCTTCAGATGGCAAGCTACATCAAGGCTGCGGAACTCCCAAAATTATTTAAATTTGCCGTGTAAATTTGCTTCTTTTCCAATTCTTTCTCGAATATTCCTTAATTTGGTTGTCATTTTTAAAATTTAATTTTCTCTTTCTTTCTTTCGTACTTTTTCTTTTTTTCTTTCTTTCTCTCTTTCTTTCTTTCATTTTTCTCTTCAATATTCTTTTTTTTCTTCTTCAATATTCTTTCGTTTCCTCTTTCGTTTTCAATTTGCTTTCTTTCCATCTTTCTTTCTTTTTCATTTTTCTTTCTTTTTTCAAGATTTTTCTCTCTTTGTTTTTCTTTTTTCTTTTTCTCTTTTCCAATATTCTTTTAATTCTTCCTTTCTTTTTCAATAGTCTTTCCATCTCTCTTTCTTTTGCATTTTTTGTTTATTTCTTTTTCCTTTTATTTTATACTATTTTCTATAAAAATATTATAATTAATCTTTTTTCCTTCCGTTTTTTTTATCTTTTTCTTTTCCTTTGTGCATTGGTCTTGTGTTTCTTTACACGTGATATTTCCTAATTTTTCGTCCGAATGAACGTATAGGCGGGGGCGTCGCGTGAGTGGTTAGGGTGATAGGGATGAACTCACACAATTTCTTGAGACTTCAATGACAAAAAATGTTTATACGTATCTTGATAAATCTGTCCCCTTCAAGAATCAACGATTAATCCAGCTATTATTTTAGGGAGTAAGAAAAAAGGGGGACAGGAAAAGAAAGAAAGAAAGAAATAAAGAAAGAAAGAAAGAAAGAAAGAAAGAAAAGAAAAGAAAAAAAGAAATTAAATAATGAAAATAAATGAAAACAAAGAAAGAAAAAAACTGAAAAAAGAGAAAGAAAAAAAAATAAATAATAAAACATGTAAAGAAAAATGATAAAAAGGGAAAGAAAGAAAGAAAGAAAGAAAGAAAGAACAAAGGGATAAATTAAGAATTTATTAGTTTATCTAAATAAATAGTACAATAAAATATGAGCACAAAGAAATAACAAAAAATAAAAAAGAAAGCAAATGCAAAAGAAAGATTAGAAAGAAAGAAAGCAGAAATAATTAGAGAAAATAAAAAGAATTCAAAAAGAAAAGACAGAAATAATAAAATGAAAGCAAAAGAAAAAGAAAGAAACAATAAAAAGAAAACAAAAATAAGAGAAAGTAAGAAATAAAAGCAAAATCAAAAAGAAACAAAGAAACAAAGAAAAAAATTAAAACAATTGAGAAAATTCGAATGACAAAAGAAACTTGCAAGCGGATTGTGAAGAAATGGAAGCAGAATGAAAGAAAATGTAAAAGCAGATTTAAGAAATAAAAGCAGATTGTGAAGAAATATAAATGGATTGTGAGGAAATGCAAGCAGATTGCGAAGAGATGCAAACTGATTGTGAAGAAATGCAAGCAGATGTTGAAGAAATGCAAACATATTGTGAAGAAATGCAAAGGGTTTGTGAAGAAATGCAAACAGATCGGGAAGAAATGAAAACGGATTGTAAAGAAATGCAAGCAGATTGAGAGGAAATGCAAAAAGATTATGAAGAAATCAAAGCAGATTTTGAAGAAATGCAAACAGATTGTGAAGAAATCCAACCAGATTGTGACGAAATGCAGATTGTGAAGAAATTCAGGCAGATTGTGACGAAATGCAGGCAGATTGTAAAGAAATGCAAGTAGATTGTGGAGAAATTCAAGAAAATTCTGAAGAAATTCAAACGGATTGTGAAAGAATGCACAAAGATTGAGAGGACATACAAGCAGATTATGAAGAAGTGCAAATAGGCTGTGAAGAAATACAAGAAGATAATGAAGAAATTCAAACAGATTTGAAGGAATGCAACAGACTGTGAAGAACCAAACAGATTGTGAAGAAGTGCAAATTGTGAAGAAATACAAGAAGATTATGAAGAAATTCAAGCAGATTGTGAAGGAATGCAAAGACTGTGAAGAAATCCAAACAGATTGTGAAGAAGCAAAATAGGCTGTGAAGAAATACAAGAAGATTATGAAGAAATTCAAGCAGATTGTGAAGGAATGCAACAGACTGTGAAGAAATCCAAACAGATTGTGAAGAAGTGCAAATAGGCTGTGAAGAAATACAAGAAGATTATGAAGAAATTCAAGCAGATTGTGAAGGAATGCAACAGACTGTGAAGAAATCCAAACAGATTGTGAAGAAGTGCAAATAGGCTGTGAAGAAATACAAGAAGATTATGAAGAAATTCAAAGCAGATTGTGAAGGAATGCAACAGACTGAAAAGAAAAACCAAACAGATTGTGAAGAAGTGCAAATAGGCTGTGAAGAAATACAAGAAGATTATGAAGAAATTCAAGCAGATTGTGAAGGAATGCAACAGACTCAGAAGAAATCCAAACAGATTGTGAAGAAGTGCAAATAGGCTGTGAAGAAATACAAGAAGATTATGAAGAAATTCAAGCAGATTGTGAAGGAATTATGAAGAAATCCAAGCAGATTGTGAAGAAGTGCAAATAGACTGTGAAGAAATACAAGAAGATTATGAAGAAATTCAAGCAGATTGTGAAGGAATGCAACAGACTGTGAAGAAATCCAAACAGATTGTGAAGAAATGCAAATGGTTTGTGAAGAAATGCGACCGAAAATTCTTGGAGACGAGAAAGAATTGCCTGAATCGAGATGAGAACGAGAAATATAAAATATCGTTCAAATTTTGCTATTCACATTGCAGCCGAAAGAACATCGTCTGATGTTTTAGTTAAAGATCATGACGAGGGAAGTGTGAAGAATCTTGATTCGATTTGCGCTTAGCCTTTTATTTCTAGTTGTTGATTTTTGATACATTCGAAAGAGCACCGGAAATATGTTTATCGATTTTAAAAGACATTAATTCCATTAAGATTTCTCTTCTGTTAAGATGTCGGAGTATTTTGCTTGAGAGCTTCAGATTCGCCTCAAATCATCTGTTCGTGTCTTGGAAGACGTCCTAAAGAGTTGACAACAGTGACGATTTTTGCAAACACATCTAAAATGTAGATCATCATTAAACTAACCATATTTTAGTACTAGGCCATATTAACCAAATAAGCTAACATGTTTTCAGAACACATTCATCATCCACAGTATATTTCTCCATGTTCTTTCATGATGTCCGTGATCAGGGCTCTCCACATCTTCCCGTTCTTTGCTGCATTAAGCAACTGTTGTTCCAGGAAAACTTTAACAAAAACTAGCAGTAGAGCCCGGCGTTGCCGGGGGATGTAACAGTAAGAGATAGATCAAGTATCGACCATCATAAAGATTGAAAAATAAAATTGACAAAGATTATTGTTTAAGGTTGACGGACACGCATGTCTTAATTAGTTTTTTTTTTTTACGAATTGGTCAAACCCAAACTCACACAAAAACATTGTTTTCAATCGTTATGAGTCTATCGATTGAATAGAATTTTATTATAAACAATTGTCTTGTAAATGGAATTTATAAAGCATTCTGAATGTAAAAATAAAGGAAAAAGTGTGCAAGACAATAAGAAACACTACCTGCCAAAAAAAAAATGAAGTTTTGTTGGAATCGGTAGAAAAATGTAGGAAATCTGATCACATATATAAACGAACACAGACACACACACACAAACAACCAGGATTTTATAAGTATAACTCGATATGAGTTGTCCCTCTTTCATTCTGGCGACAGAATCGTGTTTTGTCGTGTTTTCAAATTGATTTCGTGCAAAAACACTCGTGTTTTTCCGATTTGGGGCGCTGTCAGAACCACCGCAAGGTAATTTTACGCAGTTCTGTGAAGTTTTGTTGAAATTGGTTGAAACATGTAGGAAATCCGATCCAATATATAAACACACACACACACACACACAATCTGCGTTTTATAATAAGTAAGATTAACTAAGTCACTCGTAAAAACAAGAAATCATTTTTAGAACATTTTTTGGAGATTAGAATATATTAAACTTTCCTCTATCCACAGCAATTATCAGAATCGAAATATATTTATTTTTTATCATTTGAGGAGATGGGTCTGATTTATAATATGAATACAATTTCAAATCGATCATTGACACCTAAAAGGGTAACTTGTTGTTTTCATTAGAAAGGTCAAGGGTGAAGCTGTAATTACGACATTCATAATTGCGTTTTATTTCGAATTGGAAAAAAGGATAATTTTTGATAAATATATATATATATATATATATATATATATATGCCCAAATTTGTACATCGGTGAAATACAGAGAAAACTCAAAAAAGATTATATGAACACAAGAGACCTCATGCAGACCAACATTTTAAACGCACTGGTAGGTCACCGTATTATATTGGATCACATTTTCGACGAAATGCCAGTCTGATCAGGAGAGAAATGGATTCACTAAGAAGAAAATCTATTGAAAGTGCGCTAATCTCATTATTCTCCACTATAAATCCAAGATGACCACCAAAAATAATATCATCGACCATTGCAAAAGCAGTAATGGTACAATGCGGTATTCGATTTACGTATGGTCTTTATTCCTACAGTTGCAGGTAGTGTTACTAGATTGAGTTTCATTACTATGGTAGTTTCTAAGTATTCTACAATTATGGGAAGATATAATTTTCTCCATATTTCTAACGCATGAGTAAATACATTTCAGTGTCTTCCTAGTGAACTTTAACACCGCTCTTTAAGACTTTGACTCCCTCTTTAAAATTTATCTCTGTTACATTTTAATCCCCACTTCATTTTTAGACCTTCCTGTTCTTCTCTCGTCTGTTACCCCTCCCTATTGCTTTCATTTACTCTAACATTCGTCCCACACTCTCATACATACACTCTACCTAAATTTTATTTTTTATTCGCGGAGTTGTTTTTTCTGTTTTCTTTTGGAATTTGTAGGTCTGATGATCGCATTTACGATTCCAATTGAATAAATTATGACCACGGAATATTAGTGTTTAAGCCTTTTAATTACACACACACACACACACACACACACATATATATATATATTATTATATATATATGTGTGAAAAGTGTATATAAATATAAATAAATATATATATGTATAATTATTTATATATTATATGCGCGGTACTTATTAGAAAGCGCTCAATATCAGAGATAGAGCTAACATATTTGGTTGGATAGATGTGAGTTTGTGACCCTGGTTTTTCACGCTTTAGCGATCGTCAGACAATAAAGCGTGAAACCCAGGGTCACAAACTCACATCTATCCATCCAATATATATATATATATATATATATATATATATATATATATATATAAGGTGGTGGCATCCCAAATTTCCAGGAACCGGTTCTATAAACGCAGGTAATGTTTAGGAACCAATTTTGCTTATTTTCGTTTTAGTCTGAGAATGGAAACAAATCATTTTATACTATCAAATAGACATAAACCATTATTTTGATAATTTAATAGAAAACATTTATTTATTAAGATATTACTGGATTGAATTTCTCTTCTCATCATATTACTGTTCAGAAGTATGATACGATCTGACTCTAGTGTCATCAGCTGTGCTATGGTCTCTTAGTCACTTTCGACCTGAATCGCAGCAGTCTCAAAGATCCAATGAAAAACATATATTAGAAAATTTACCACATTTTTAACTTCAAGTCGGTCAGTGACGTGTCTATTCGTGTTTCAGTAGGCGAACGTAGCGTTGTATTGAAATAAAGTATCGCTACCGACACTTGAGTTTGAACATAGTTCGCCAGTGAGCAAACACAGGCGATCTCATTATTGAATTAAGTAGACCACGTGATCATAGAGGAAACGCATATATAGAAAGTCGCGTGACGTCTAGACTGAGCTCTGTTTTTAGTCTATCCTCTATTACTATACGAATCGTTATTTCTACTCGATCCTCTATTACAATAAGTACCGCTGTTCTTTACACTATTCACTATACTATTTCTCTATTCAGATCACTGTACAGATTACTGTTCGAGCGTGTATTATCGAGCAAGTACTATTAGGGCGAGTGTTATTCGAAGACGTCTGACACCAGTATTGTTCAACGGCGTATTCTGGTGGTATCTGCGATTACAAAGTCTCTACGACAAGGAACATTGAGTCCTCCGTGAGTAAACAAAGTGTCGAAGTATAAAGGATCAAAAGACAAACTGACGAATAGGCAAAATGCTGAACAGACAAAGTCTTGAATGGTCGAAGTACCGAACAATCAAAGTGTCCCATTGGCAAAGTAAAGAACAGATAAAGAGTCGAACTGACTGAATGATGAAAGTAGAAATTCTACAATAGAGTACCTTTTAATCAACGTGCAAACCCCTGCTGGACAGTAGAATCCCTGACAACAAAACTAAGAAGGCCTTTCGGATATGAGGAATTGGTTACAAAGTCCGGATATGAGGGGTTATATTTAGATTAGAACTTAAATCAGGTTTAACATTTATTTTCAATGTTGTATAGTAAACAAAATAAGCAAATGGTGAGCGAAATATAACAGAATCGATTTTAAGGGAAATATTTATGTAATGTTAATGAAAATCATTAAAAATAGTTATGCAAAACAAATAAGCTAGCGAGGATTTTTTTAATGTCATTCTCAACTTTTTCCGCATTTCGTTTTGTTTTTGTTCTTGACATTTTTTAAACGAAAATCTGCGTGCGTTATTGAAATAGTCATATCTCAATGCTAGCATTTTTATCCATAAAACTGACAAATTTTTCAATCGCTTTTTCAATTTCAGTCCAGGTTTCATCACAATCCTGCATCTCATCGCTATCTTGTTGCAGATGATGTCTCGTTGTCATCCTTTCCTCTTATTCCCATCATCTTTTGAACCAATACAAGCCATTTGGGTAAAATAAGCATAAACAATTATCCAAAGTAAATTTCCGGAAAAACAGAAATTTCAAATCAGTTACATATCAGCCAAATAGTTTAAACAGCCGACAAGAAAGAAGATGATCGGAGTTGAAATTTATTTTAGAAATAAATTCACACATTGAGGTATTAAACAGGGAATTGGGCTTACTCAGTATAATTTACAGAGGACGACCTCTAAACAATCACAACATTCCTCGAAAAAGTAAGTTTCACATATTTTTTCTTCCTCGTCTCGATGGAAAAGAGCACATTTAAATCTTAAGGTAAATATATAATAAATATCAATTTTCTTAACGATGTTGGTATTATTTTGTTGTCTTTTTATTCTTCAAATTTTATTAACCCACCTATTAAATCTACATATTATATATATATATATATATATATATATATATATATATATATATATATACGTGTGTGTATGTTTTAATATATTTCCTGTTTATACGTTGTTTTTTATCGATGCAATTATTTAAATAAATGTTCTGTTAACAATAAACTATTAATTGCATTTATCAGTTAGAAAAGTCAATTTACAACAAATCTTCCACGAAACAATCATATCTGCTGAAGCGTATCTTAACGTAAACAAATGACAAAAAATATCATGAAATGGACTAAGAATGGAAAAAAATTGTATATATATATTTAATTAAATGCTCTGTTTATAATAACTTAGGTTTACTGGGGTGAATGGCCGGGAAATTTCGGAGAAAATATTTGGCTTCCGACAGGAATCGAAAATATATAAAAAAATTTGTCGGGCTTAGTCCATTTCATGATATATGTTGTCA